CCCCAAAACCCCAAAACCCCAAAACCCCATGCTGCCTTTTCTGCAATAAATATTCGATATATCACATTAATAAAACTAAATTATCTTAAATTAAAGAAACTAATGCAAGAAGATTAATTCATTCTTGATGAGACAATCATTTAAGAATTAACTTGTACAGGGAGAGGCAGGTTTTCATCATTCTTTGGAGAAGAATCTACAAGAGACTTTTCATGTTCTGACTTCAGATAATCTTCATCGATTGCTCAATTAACTTAGAAAGAGGTAGAACCTATTTCTTTTGAAGCTAATGAAAGAAATGATGTATCAGAATTCCAGATATATCCGACAAATTCTTTGAGTTTTAACTCTAATCAATTCACTCTCTTCAATGATGAAGAGAAGTTGGAAAAAGAAGATGCTACCTCACAGATTAAAGTACACAATGAGCAGAGCAAAATCTAATAACGCTTATTAGAGCTTATGAATCGATTGAAGTCTAAGATCAATAACATAGATGTTCTTTTAATCCCAAACTCGATATCTTAAATGACACCAATGCTTTTTGAAGAACTCAATGAAAAAGACAAGATTCTTGTAACTTAGATAATTAAAGATGATATCGACTTCTCCATTTTAGAGTTGCTAATCAAGGATGGGACCATCAATAACTATGAAACATTTGAATACTCTATGACTAGAATGGTCACTCAGAGAACCACCAAACTCTATAAAATGTTTTCAAATTTCAAAGGAGACTATGAGAATCTTTTACTATCTATGAGGAACACACTGGTCAACAAGATTGCAAAACTAATAGTGCAAAAGCATGACAAGAGAATGATCATAGAGAATGTGAGACAAAACGCCAATGGGGATTATAGTTTTAAAGTCAGAATGCATGAAAGAGAGAAAAAGCCAGTGAGTTTAATGAGTTTGGATATTAACAGGCTTTTAGATATCTATAGGCGCCTTGATAAGCTTTGATTTCAAGATTTAACAATTTGGTTTATTATTTTTAATTTACATACCTAAGATTTGCTTGATTATTAAATTACTCTTAGATACGGGGTTTTGGGGTTTTGGGGTTTTGGGG